CACACACACACACACACACACACACACACACACACACACACACACACACACACACACGCAGGGGAACGGGAGTCATAGCTATTAATCATGTTGCAACATATACTTGTGAGGCTATTTAAGTAGATGGGAAATAACTCTGATACAATGACATTATTAAACAAGGAAGAACCTTTGTTTCGAGTAAATTACTTACTCATTTTATTGTTTATTTTTGCAGGGACAGCACACAATTAAAAGTAATTGAACCCGAATAAGTTAGAAGCTAATATGCATCAGTTTTTCCTGGACAGGTAGACAATTGAACAACCACATAACAATGAATACACCACAAATCTCTCTTTAGTCGAAAGGCTTCAAATTTAAAAAGTGACTGCAACTGTTCTTTGCTACTTTGGAAGCTGAAAGGGTTAGACTAACTATCTATCCATCCATCCAGGTAGCCAATGGATCGGGGTCCCAGGGGAAATTCGGGGTTACGAACAGGCACACAAGCTGTATGGGAAGTTGCCGTGGGCCACCCTCTTCCAGCCGACCATCCAACTGGCCAGGGAAGGGTTTCCTATTCCTCTGATCCAAGGTCGATACGTCTCTTACATTGATGTGAACAAGACCAAGCCGCTACGGTACAAAAAAACACCCTAAAATGATTTGAAAAATATGAAAAGCACAAAATGAACATTTCACCTTTCTACATTTAAATGCTATTTTCTTTCTTTGTGTTTGTCCTTTAGAGAGTTGTATACAGATAAGAATGGAAACTTAATGAAGACTGGTGATATTGTGAAGTTTGAGAAACTAGCCGACACCTTGGAGATAATTGCAAACCAAGGGGCAGAGGCTTTTTACACTGGAAGAATAGCGGAGGATTTAATCCGTGACATACAGGAGGCAGGTATTGTCAGACGGGTTTCATCATTCTTTTTTTCCCCAACCATTTTCTATCTCTGCTTGGCACAATGATTTAATTACAAATTAACAAATCAATTGGGTCTGTAAAGTCACATTGTTTCAATGTGACTTATATTTTTACTTGAATCTGTCCACATGTGTTTTTGGTCTAGTGTGAACTTTGACCTATGGGCAGCCGAGCAGGGGTTTCCTGTTTTCTCATGAGAACCAAAGTAAGAGTTTCTCCCCAAGTGGGGAAGCCTCATAGCAAACAGATGGGTACCTAATTAAATGTAAACATCCTTTAGACCACAGGAGACTGACTGACTGGACTTAGATTGACATACAGCTTGCTGCTGGTGTGAAAAAGGCGTCACTCAGACGTGATTTTAAGGCTCGCTTCTTTGTGGAGAAGACAGAGTCTCCCTTTGCTCTTCCAGGGTGAAGAGACGCTCTCAATGCTATTCAGCTGTTAGCAACCTTTGACTCTGTTTTATTCTATTAGATATGTTAGTGCACATTTGAGCTGTTTAGGCTCGTTAGATCTGTTTGATTTTGTTTTGATTTGTTTGTAAGCGTTTTACAATCTTTTCTACATTTAATCATGTAATAAATACTTAAAG